TCACTCTTCATGTGTAGAATATCATGCAAGCCTTGCTAGTTAAGGCATAAACGATTAACCCAAAATGCCAATTAGTTTTGAAACTTTTCAGTGTATTATAGACTTTTTGAAGCATGAAAGTGAAGACTTCGGCTGAGACGTTCCACATACTGATGACCGGAAAGAAAAACCCGCAAGGTATTGTCGCATGTATAAGAAAAAAAAAGTAAAATCTTGATGAATGAAACTTTACCTTCAAAAGGATGTATCTGGCGCACTTCTCTTTCCTCGCCAGCGTTGACAAGTCCGTTTAACAAGATCAGGAACGATAAATTAAGAACAATTATCCTAAGCAACTTCAACATCGCGCTGTAAGCTGTCAATGGCCCTGAGACTCCTCTTGGCTTAATTTCTAAGCGACGTATCCAGGTGGATGGGTCTTTTATACTTTTGAAATGATCGTGTAATTTGGACAGATGCAGGTATTAAACTCTTAGCAGACTAGTGGTCACAGCTGCATAATATAGCACTATTTAAAAAATATACTGGCCTTATCTTGCGATAAGCATTACTTCCGTACAACAGAATGTGCTTTTCAGTATTTTTCACGTTGGATAATAAAAAAGAGTTGACCAAAAAATTGTTTTTCCCACGCCAAAAATGACTAAATCAGGCGTCTATTCAACTTTCTTACTTCCTACTGAGTCTTGAGCCATTTACTAAGCAGTTTTATGTAGATTTTTATGATCAACCTTCAACCTTTCCTACCTGCGGTAGATAAACAGCTTGTTTTGAGGTTCAATAGCCGCATGGTAGAATCAGATTGCATGTCTTAGAAGGCAAAAAATATCGGTCACCGATGTCAGTGACATAAAAATGGTCACTAAACAAATTAAGAGGATAGCTCGGGAAAGATCTACGTTTATTTATTAATGAAAGAGTTTAGTTAACTCAGGTGAAGGAAATTTTTTAAAAAAAAAGTAAAAATAGCATTTTGTATTTTGAGACAGCCTCTTTGTTCAAAATACATTGAATGGGAAGACCATTTTCCACCTTCTTTGGTTTATTTTTGGGTTAACAATTAATTAAAATATCATTATTTTTGTTATCTGTTCATCACCCAGTTTACTGCCTACATCTTTGACATCTTTCCTCGTAATCCTTTTGCCCGGCCTAACAGTCAGGCCAAAGAAATAGTCACAAAAAATCAAATTTCTATTTGAAAATTCATAAATAGTACTCTGGAAGAGGTTTGTCAAAGAGGTTTCAGTTGAATGGTAACACCATTGAATTCCACCCACGGTCCCAAAAGGTTGAACTATGTACAAAACAAATAGCAAAATGTGAAAGTACTACTGAAGAGAATTCATTTGAATGGCGACACCATAGGATTTCATCCACAGACTCAAAAGTTAGAACTACGTACAAATCAAATAGCACCATGTGAAAGTACTGCTGAAGAGGTTTCATTTGAATGGTAACACCATTGAATTTCACCCTCGGTCCCAAAGGTAGAACTGCGTTCAAAACAATAAGTACCACTCGAAAGTCGTAGTGGCAAAGCGATTTGAATGGTATCTGCATAGAATTTCACGGAACCTAGAAACTTTTATAGTTAGAATGACAGATTATCTTGCCAGGCTCTAGAAGTAAGGGCTAAGAAAGGACCAGTTCAAAGAAATATTTCTTCTATCCTTACATTGGTCGTTCTTATACTCAAAAATTAATTTTCGATGAATGTTTTAATTACTTATAATCGATAACAAAAGGTTGGCGGAACAAAAGAAGCCATGTGCAGCAGATGTAACCTGATTCATTATTCAATTTACCGGCTCTGACCCCTTCTTCGAGACCTTCTGTAAATTTTCTTATCTTGTGGCAGTCATAAATAAACATAGAGAAAAAGGAAAGAAAAGAATGTCATATCTTACCTAAAAAGGTAGGCCTTCCTTTCAATCCTTTTTCTGGTTACTACTTTCTTTCTAATTCCGACAAGGACTAACAGATGAGCTAAGTTTATTGGTTTGGATTCTTGATGAAACTCGAGTTGCAAATTTATAATAAAAAGACGTTGCCGATGAACATTGTAAACTTCTTACTGAAATTGTTATGCTCTTTCAATGTTCAGAGATTTTATTTTATAAGCTTCATTAGATAATGATAAGCATATGTTAACAAGGGAAAAAATGTAAGCAAAGATTCGCCTATTAAAATGCTAATGCTTGTGAAAAGTTACTATTTATTGAAATACACTGTATTCCCTTGAATAACTGGGCAAGTCTGTATCTTCACATGTGCAGTAGCTGATTTTTGAGTTACTCCAAATCTCTTTATTAAAGCGAAACCTTGTGCACAAGCGTTCATATGCAAATTACCGTAAAATTCCGAAAACAAGCCCCTCCATGTATAAGCCCCTCCAAATATGAGCCCCCCCCCCCCAAACCGGTAACGCCAAAAAACCCTCCGTTAAATCGCCCCTCCAAATATAAGCCCCCCGGGGACTTGTACTTGGAAAATTGCCCTCAAATACAAAGTAAAACAAAGCCACAACGGTAAATTTACTTCCAGCTATAAGGCTAGCCCATTCAATTTTGAAACGCAAATTTTCCTCCGTAGATAAGCCCACTCCGAATATAAGTCCCTCCAAAAATAAGCCCTTTAAAAAGGGCCTTTGAAAAATATAAGCCCCGGGGCTTAATTTTATTGATAACAGTGCTAACTAATAATCATACTAATAGTAATAATTTCCGTGTTAATTAGAGTTATTTTCATATGAAAGGACGGAAGACAGGACTCGCCTTGAAAACGAGGCTTTAAGTTATATGAAATTTTCCGTCAAAATTTAAGGCTTAAGTAATGATCCAGGTAAGAAGGGAAGCAATTTCTTTTGTTGTGGCGCAATACGCTTTCCTCACATAGAAATGTTTTCATTTTTACGCAGTGAGTGCATAAATTTACAAAAAGGCTGTTTACGAAAGAAAATGTATTTAAACTCCACTGTTAAAGGGTGTATTTTTGTGTTAAAACATTTCGACCAATCACAAGAGCTGCAAACAATGGCCAAGAAATGTTCACAATTTTACATGATCCGCACATACGATTTCTGTGTTACTTAGACTCGGACGAGATTTTGTTATAAGGAAGTTGGATAGAAAAAAAGGGATTAATGTACACGCTGCTTTGCGAAGATTTGGTAAAATTTGATGTTTAAACCAATCAGAACCTTAGTAGAGACAATAGTAAAGTTAGCACCTTTTTGCATTCCGACGTGTTCACTGCGTTTTGGTCCTTTCCTTCTTATCTGGACCATTACTTAATTGCTACTCTTGATTTTAATCAAGATAAACAGGTTAAAACATGTTTATCTCACTTATTTTTTATGAAATCATGCGTGTGAGGCCGTGTTTTGCCTCATTGGATGCCCTTATTTACAGCTGTGTGAAAGTAGGAAACAAATGTGAAATTGAAATGATCAGCATGTCACGAGCGTGACAAACGAAAAAATCTGAGTCCCCGACAGGATTCGAACCTATGCCCTCCCAAACACCGGGCGGGCGCTCTATCCACTTGAACTACGGAGAACTCATGAAGAACTTTTTCATTCTTTCACCACACAATAGGAAACAAGTAAAGTAAAGTACTAAAATTTAATTAGTTAAATTGTTATATAGCTGGAATTTTTTTCCCAACAGCGCGCGAGGTGGAGGTCACATGCCATCTAACGATGAAACTGTTTCCCGCCAAAAACTCTGAGCGGGCAACATTGCAAAAATCTATGACGTAAGAGGGTAACAGTGCACTGTTACCAGCGAATGTTGACCGAAGACCCACCGTTACAGCGAAGTTTAATGTGTTCTCAGTTTTCTAGTCCTCGCCGTCTTTATCATCAGAGACGCCTGGAAAGGAAAACAAATTTGTGCTCCACATATATTCTGTATAGCCTATCCCATTGTGAATGTGTTCGCATATGGTTGGAACGTGTTTTAAGACCAGGACGTTAAAATGCGTTTGAATTTGCAATTTCCCAGAAATGCGGTGAATGACTAGAGCACCATTAAAGTTGCACAAGCTAAATCCGTCGTTCTCCGAGTAAACAGCGTTTCCCATCGTAAATGGCGTAAACCTTTCGTTATCCGTCAGGTTAACTTTGATATATTGCATTAGGTAGCCAAAGCATGCGTCTTCGTTGGGAAATAATCGCACGGTTTTTAAAGCCCTGAACAACTTTGTCAAAAGGCTACCACTATAAACATAGCCTGGTCCAGATGCATAGGGCGGATACTTGGAATCAGGGTATTCCTCTTCTGACACGTACCAAGGATCGTCTGGCTCACGGAAAGGCCCCCTATCTAGAAAAGCGGCACCCATATACAGAGGTGTGGTTTGCTTGCTTTCCATGAGAAACTGGGTCAGTTGAAATACGTTAATAAAGGAGTCTTCATCTGCTTTCATTACATACTGAGCCTGGCAGCGCTTGGCTGCCCATTCAATCCCCAATGCCATCTTCTTTGTCAGGTTTCTGTAGGAATCTATAAAATCTCCAAATACCATATCATTGTGGATCTTGGCCTCTTGCTGGAGCAATTTGTCTAGCCTGGGGTTTTCCGTCTCGCCTACGAGGAACACCGTTTTCCACAACCTTAAATCCAACAATAACCATATGATTACGTCAATGAAATACCCGGCCTTCAGGGAAATATATCAAATAATCTTTTACTTGTTTTTTGATATCTCACGTAACTTTCAAGGATAGGTAAGTCTCTTTATATCAAAAGTGACTTCATCTTGATGTTCAGCTCTGCTCACTGGAGTTTTTTGTTTTTGTTTTTTTTTTATTTTTTATTTTTTATTTTTTTATTTATTTTGCCTTACAGACATATATTAAATGTTTACAGTACTAAACACTACTGAAACTAAATACTACTAACAATATTCACTATACTTGCACTATTTACAATATTGGCTATACTGACAATACCATCCATACGATGCTCGTACTACTAATAATTACAATGGTTACACTACTTACAATTCTAGTACATCACACACACACACGCCCCCACATAAACACACACACAAAAAAAAAAAAAAAAAAAAAAAGGTCAGAGGAGTTACTTTTCATGTCTATTTTATAGCTTTTCAATTCTGTATTTAATTATCATTTTACCAACGAAGTCTTGGAGGAGAATTGGTTTGTTGTGTAGTTTGTTGGCGTAGATGTAGTATCTCATAAACAACATGGTATAATTGAATTTCCTTACTAGTACCTTTTCATGTAAGTCCGAGAGGATGCCGAACAGTCTTTCTTCGCTAGATGGGTTGAGATTGATCTTGTTTTCTATATTGAACCAGTTGATAACCCGTTGAATGAAAATCTTGACGAAATGACAATCTCTAAAAGTATGATTAATAGAGTCTTTTTCACCACAATATATACATTCATCATCTTCCTTGATTCCATAGCGGTAAAGTTCCTTTTTGGTGACTACAATTCGGTGGATTAATTTATATTGAAATTCCTTTAATTTGGTCTCTCTACAGACGGTTTTTAGGGAGGTGAATATTTTTTCCCATTTATCTTCATCCAAGGAAAGATCTTTGCTCCATCTCTGTGGCCCAGAATGACCTGTTGTGTGGATTTTTGTGCATAATAACGTATAGAAGTCGCTAGTCTTGATTTTGTTCAGATATAGAGTTATCGATTCATTTAATTGTAGACTAAGATTATTACCAGAATATAACTCTTTATTAATTGGCTTCGTTGATTTTGCTTTGGCTAATAGGTGCTTTGGGATAGCGCTAATAACTTGATAGTATTGAAGGAAGTTAGTTTTACAGAAATACTTATTCGTAAATTCCTGATAGGTCATCAGTTGACCGGTATTGTGTAAGAGATCTTGTATTGACAGGATACCTTTTTTAAACCATTCCCTGATAAAAAAGGTTTTACTGTCAACAAGTATTTCTTTGTTGTTGAATAGAATTATATTTTGTGCTTGATCAAAGCTGTACAGAGTTTTTAATTCACTGAAGTATACTAGAATATTTCGGTAAAACAATGGAATAGATTTTATGTATTTCGCATCGTAGTTACATCTCAGTAAAAAGTTCAAACCTCCGAATTTTCTTAGGTAATAATCAGGAACTGTTTTCCAATTCTGGTTCCCTGGAGTCAGTAATCTTGGAATCCAGGCTAGTTTTAGAGCTTTCAACATTATGTCGATGTCTACCATACGTATTCCGCCTCTTCCCAGATCCTGATAGAGCCCAGTTCGTTTAATTTTATCCCTTTTGTTTTTCCATAAGAAACTAAAAAACTTTGTTTTCACTGTGCTTGCGATATCTTCGGGAACATTAAGAATTGAAGCTGAATAAATTAATTGTGACAATCCTAGGGACTTAATTATCAGTACCTTCCCAAATAGTGTGAGGTCTCTAGATCTCCACATATCCAGCTTTGTTTGAAGTTTTCGTATTTTCAGATTAAAGTTCAATTCATTGTTACCCTTCTCATCATAAGAGACATGAATTCCTAAGAGGCGAGCCGGACTATGTAACCATTTTAGTTGTAAAGGATAACTTCTGTTTTTTTCCCATTTTCCCAACCAAATTGCTTTCGATTTCTTTATGTTTAACTTGAGACCCGCTAGCCTCCCAAAATCTCTCACCGTTTTCAAAGCATTTTCAACGGAGATCAAATCTGCACAGAAAAGGTTTGTGTCGTCTGCGAATTGGCTCAATTTGATTTCGTGCCCGAATATTTTGATTCCTGTTATACTTGGTTCTTGTCTGATTTTGTTGGATAATATCTCCGTGGAAAGCACAAATAAGTACGGAGAAAGGGGACACCCCTGTCGCACTCCTCTTGACGGTCTAAACCAGTTGGTCATGAAACCATTGTTTATCGCCGCGCTCTCAATTTTTGTATAGAATGTACTGATCCATCTTTTTATACTTGTTCCGAAATTGAATATATCCAGTGCTTTCATCATGAACGACCATTCTAGAGAATCAAAAGCTTTCCGAAAATCTAGAGATACTAGAATGCCAGGTATGCTTTCTGACTTCGTATGTTCCATTATGTCGATTATTAGCCTAATATTTTCCCCGATATATCTTCCTTTGATAAAACCGGTTTGATCAGTGTGCACTAGATTTGGTAATAATGGTTCTATTCTCCTTGCTATTGCCTTAGTTGCTATCTTGCAATCAACATTTAGCAGTGTTACCGGTCTCCAGTTTGAAAGTTCTAGTAGCGAGCCATCTTCTTTGGGAATTAAAGTAATAACGCCTCTTCGTTGTGAAATGGTGAGTTCATTTGCATCATAGGCCGCATTGAAACTAGCAACAAGATCGTGTCCTAGCAGATCGAAAAAAAAACATATAAAATTCAACCGTGAAACCATCTTCTCCTGGAGCTTTGTTGTTTTGAAAAGTGTCTAAAGCTTTTTTTGCATTCTTCATAAGATAATAGACCTTCTATTCTATCTCTGTCTGCATCTGATAGTTTTGGAATTTTTAAATGTTCGGTGAATTCATCAACATTATTTTCCTGTGAATTATTTGCTGATGCGTACAATTCGCTATAATAGTTTTCGATAGCTTCTAATATCTGAGACTCGTTGTTTGTTACTGTTTCACTTTCTGTTCGCAGTTCAGTGATGGTTTTCCTGTTGTAGTTTCTTTTCTCCAGATTGAAAAAGTACTTTGTTGGACGTTCGCCCTTTTCGACCCATCGACATTTCGATCTAAAAATAGCTGCCCTCCCTTTCTCCTCATAAATAGATTGGAGTTCCATTTTGAGATCTTCATATTCATTTAGGATGTGCGCGATATTGGGAGAGTTGAAGTTGTCGCAAATATTGCGGTCCAGAATTTCGAGCTGTCTCCTAATTTCCAATTCTCTATTAGTGGTCGCTTTTGCTTTCTTTTTACTATAAGCAATGGTTGCCGCTCTGGTTTCCATTTTTAACATTTCCCAAAGAAGGCGTGCGTCTGCCAAATTGGAGTAAAAAGCGCGTGTGCGGGAGTACGTTTCACGGATTTTGGACACATAATGTTCATCTTTCAGTAACGTGTTGTTGAATTTCCAAAGTCCGGGTCCTCTAGACTTTTCAGTTGTCCAAGACAAAGAAATGTAAATTGCTCGGTGATCCGGTGCTATAGAAGGATAAATTTCGCTTTTCTTCACATGTTGTGTCAGATTTTTGGCAACTAGGAAAAAGTCTATTCTGGATTTCAGTTTTAACACTTTTGATTCATAAGAGTATTTACGTAGCCTCGGGTGACGTAATCTTTGAATATCTACGAGATCGAAAGCGTCCATAGTTGTCAAAATCAGGTTTCGATAATTTGTTGGTTTCAAATTGTGCCACCAATTTTATCTATCTTTGATAGTGTGCAATTCCAGTCGCCTCCTACAATAAGCGTGGAAATTTCTGACTTGTCGATAAGGCAATTGTTTAAGTTTTGTAAGAAATCTAATTGTTCACTTTGGCTATTCGGGGCATAAATATTCACCAGTGATAATTTTAGAGAATTCAGAACACAAGTAATTAGCACGATTCTTCCAGCCTTGTCACTGAATGAGTAATCGATCTTATTTTGTACCGTAGGGTGTAAAAGAATGCAAACACCTTTACTATGCCTGGATCCGTGAGAGAAAAATATTTCACCTCCCCATTCGTTTTTCCAAATAATTTCATCTTCTGGTTGAGAGTAAGTTTCTTGCAAGAAATAAATTTTTGAGTTATAATCTTTGAGATATAGAAAAATGCTCCTCCGTTTGGTTTGATCTCTTATTCCCCCATTCCCCTTACGTTTAGAGAAAGTATATCGTATTTTGCTTTCTCTTGCATTACAATAAAAAACAAAAACAAAAAAACAAGAAGAATATATATGCAAATTTAAAAAAAAAAAAAAAATACAGAAGTAAACAAAACTAAAATTATACAAAACGTAAATTAAAGTAGTTTTTGAGCGTTTCCCTTCTTCTTCTCCGAACTTTGCGTTTTTTGTTCCTGTCCCAAATGTAAGTTACAGTTTTTGTCTTCCTTGGCCGATTGGACATTTAAAGATAATCTAAGTCTTCCAGCTCGTTAATTCTGACCGGCTTACCCTGCGGAGAGGTCTTGACATATATTGATCCATCCATTGACCAGACACTCAACAATTCATCATTTCTCCGCATCTCGTTTGCCCGATTCATTATTTTTTTCCTGTACGAGGTAAGATTCTCGTTTAAAAAAATTCTGTCGGCTTGCACTAGAGTTGACGACGAGCACTGCTCACTGGAGTTGAAACACACCAAAAAAAAAACGGCTATCGTCAACTCTTTTTTGACTGACACCTTTATCAGACAGACACCTCCCTAAAAAGGAGACCTTGTGTTGGTTCTTACCTTTCGTTTTTTGCTTTAGTTGAATCTCTATAACACAGAGAGTTGACTCTTTATAAGATGAACATCTCTCTAAGACGGAAACACAGGGCCATCCCCAAAGTCGTCTAACCCTTAGAAAGAGTTGAATGATTTTTGTTGTTGTAGGGAAATTATTTCTATCTGAGTGGATTAAAATCTTGAACAGTAGACACCTGATGAAAGCTCTTGCAGAATATCTTGTGATTTAGAAGGTTATGAAGTTTTACTGAAGAAACCTTTAAGTTGAGAGAATTGTACCGTATATTTGTTAACATGCGGAGCGAGTCGCTTTGCACCATGTTAATTGTAAAACTGTACCACTAAATGTGACCAAATCTACCGCACGCTTTTGTGTGGTATTACGTAACTGGCCTTAATATTTCTGATTCGATTTCGACCCGGTCGTATTAATTATCAGTTGTTGCCGAGATTTTCCGGCAAGCCCTGCTTTCAATATCAAGTCTGCCATATGGACCCCTCTTAAAATTTTGTTCTTGCGTTCTCGAAATTAGAGTACTTTTAGTATTAGACTGGTCTAACCATTTCACTTCACTATAACTATAAATCCCTTTGTTTAAGTTGTTTAATGATCAGAGCAAATCTCTGCTCTAGAAAGGAAAATGCTCTGTAACTGTTACTTACAGATGTTAGTTAGTGTATTCCTCGGTATTGCATTGCATATCCATACGCATATATAGGGCGCACATTAAAACATGGCGGCCTTTGCCTTAAGGCTGGAGGTCCTCAGAGAGGTAAATTTCTGTCAAACGGGTGAAGGTACCTATATCAATTTTTTTCTCTTTATTTAAATGAGCAGTTACTTTTTTTCTCTATAGTATACATTGGCTAATCTCCAGTGCAGACAGAGAAAAAATCGTCGAAACGTGTTCAAAGTATATGCTCGTCAAGGAACATATGCTCGTATATACAGGCTGCTCCTGCTACTCAACGAGTGGCAGGCGCGGATCCACACCGGTTTCCATCGTTTTACGAAAATCGGTCAGAGTTTCCATAAAGAAGTAAATTTTTCATGAAAAAAACTTTCCAAGTTAAAATCTGGCCAATATCCAGACTGGATGACTCAGAAACACAGGAAAGGTGACTTTAGGGAGTAGAAATCTAAAAATTTCAGGGGTTGCATGCCCCCGGACCCCCCCCCTAGATCTCGTGTAGGAAAACGGTCAGTATTTATCCTAGATCCGCGCCTGAGTGGGGACCTCCCTGTTGTATTTTAAGTGTCTACAACATAAACAACCGGTCGGTTAATTCAACAAAAATGTCACTGCAGGTTCTATGAATTAATTTCTTACCCAGACATGCCGACTTGCTTCCAACCATTAGCTTTGTTGATCCTGTTTTCCGGTCGTCCCCAGGACATTCGAATGGCTTGTCTTTCCATGACGTTTGCCGGACTGGAATGGATTTGTATTAAAAGAAATGGAGCCGGATTACAATCAGGCGAAGAAGAAGTCGAGTTTACTTGTCCATGTTCATCACTTATGTTCACTTTAAGGGTCAATTTCTTTCCGTACAGTGCAGCTTGTTTAAAAGCTTTTCCCTCCCTTTCTCTAATCTCTTTAAATTTCTGGAAAGTTGTGTCAATTTCGATTTGCAATCCTTTCCAATTAACGAGCAGAAGCTCCTGGTTTTGATCCTTGCTATCGACAAAATATTTGCTGGATTTCGTGGCATATTGATAATTAATTATTATCAAAATGTTCGATATTCCCAAAAAAAGGAACAAAAGCAAGAGAAATCTAGATCTTAACTTGTACATCAGGAGGAAAGACATTTCAAAAGCATTAATGTCATGACAAATGACCACTCTTATGAAAGCCAGTGAAAATAAAACAAAGGATATTAATTTAGTTTCGGATAATTCCTTACGCGGTTGAAAGCTACCATGGAAATTAAGCGGCATTTGCACAAACACAAAAAACTTGGCAAAGAAAACTTTGTCCTTTTAAATGCATTTTAAAAAATGTAACATTACCTTCTTTGTTTGCCCGTGATGTAAAAACAGTCTTTGTTACGACCAAACATATAATAAAATATTATTTGTCGTATAGTTTATATATGACAGGGTGGGTCCGTTTACCGCCCGTTCGTCTCGGTAGTCGACTCCACCGCGATCAGACGTCTTAGGCTCTTTTTTGTTGTTGTTTTATTAGGTAGTATCGTATTAACTATTTGACTCCCTAGATTGACCAACAGTAATCTTCGTCCAACAAACACAAATACATTATCAAGGGAAAAAGTCATGGGAGTTCTTAATACTAATCACGGGAAAATGTTTTGATCTTTCATCAAATTCTCTCATTAATAACAACTATAACAAAATCCTCAAATCTGATTGGCTATCAACTGTCCTTATTTCAGCACTTATACTTGACTGGCTTAGAGCAGTGTATTTCGGCTTAATTTGAAATACCTACATGTGAAAATTACAAACCTTTTGCGGGTAGTAGTATAAACAAATAATAGCGTGATTTGTACGTGATATTTGGCATAAATACCACTTTTGATATTTCAAAATTGTCTCAAATTTCACTCGCCTAACGGCTGGTGAAATTATGTATAACAATTTTGAAATATCACTCGTGGTATTTATGCCAAATACCACTACAAATCATGCTATTACCTATACTAATAGGACAGTGTAAAAGGACAGTACGCGTCATTGCCCACGCGCACTTAAATGGCTTGTTTTTAGATGCTAGACAAGTAAAGAAAACTCTCGGAATTCCTTGTGTTTTGATTTTGAAAAAGCCAAAAATAACACAAATTTTGGTATAGTTATAATTAATTGGTAACAGAACTTCATGTCGTCCAATTCGGTCTGTAATCATACTCGCGATTAAAATCGAACTCCCGCTACGCGGTCGTCCGATTTTGTTTTCACCCGTATGATAAGAGATCGAAGTGCATGGACTCCACTCTGTCCCGTTACCATTATTAATTATATCAGAAAATATATGGATATCAGTCTGGAGAATATTTAAGTAAATTAGGGCTAAAAGGGTTAACCATTAGGTGAAAATGTGGACAAGTATGAGTAAAATATACAGTAACTACTTGTTTTTCCTCAAATAATAAGCTTCTGAAAAAACTTATTTATATGCATGAGTGTTTTCGTCTTGTTTTACCTTGCCCGCATGATGCAGGTGGGAGATTTAAACAAAAAGGTTGGTTTCGTTTACTCAGATGCATGTAAAAAACAAAGAAAGCTTATGTTGCTAGGGACTAAATCGTTCAAAAACATTATTACATATTAAATATTTGAATTTTGCTGGAGTTGTCATAGCATTCTCAGTGAAACAAAACATGTTCGCCCACTTTAAAAGGGGCGATGTTACCACCCCATTGTATCACAATACGCGATAGACCCTTTTTACCTTTTCACGACCAGCGAAAATCCGTCAACACAGCAAAAAAGAACGCCTTGGAATTAGTAAAATGCCAAGTTTGAACATGATTGTTGAAAGCTAAATAAGATATAGCACCGCAAAGTCGCAGAATGTTACAGACGTTTTTATGGTGGTGCCCCAAACCATAGAAACGTCTCTAAAATTTAGCGATTTTGTGGAGCATTTATCTTCACGCACTTTTAACGTATTACCTTTAAACTAGCCTCCACCCTAGCGTTTTTAGGGGAGCTTGTATTTTGTCCTCCCCAGGGACGAAATACGAGCTCCCCTAAAAACGCCTGCGTGGGAGGCTTCCTTTAAACTTCGCAATTTTAAGACGCTTTGTCCAGCAGTGTCATCAATGGATAATTTTCAAAAAAACAAAAAACCGTGGAACAGTCTTTTGGGGTATGAATTTGCGCATGCTTAAGTACGCTGAAGGATTACTATTACTACTACTACTACTACTTTCGTTAGTTTAAGAGCATCAAACTGAGACTGCCTTTTTGTCTTCTTTAATGGGTAGCTCAATCAATTATCTATTTTTGCTCAAAATATAATCTGCATGTCGTTGTTGTTTACTTTCAAGTTCTTCAGAGTATTAATATACTTTGCTAGAACTTTGAAATCATACTAGGGTTAAAGTTTGCTGCTTCTTTTCACGGTTGAACCGCAATTCATCCAGCAGATACTTCATAATTGTTCTTTTATCATTCCATTGGTTAATTCTAGCTTGTAGGAGTGAATCTCTTTCATTTGATTTCCATCTACTCAGCGTTCTCTTCCGTGTACTGCAACCCAGATCAGCCAAGCACTCGTATTTTGCGTTATTGCAGCCTGTACACTGATTTGGACTTATACAGGAGCTAAAACAAGAATGCCAGTCGTCTTGACAGCAATAACAGTCCGTACAATTAGCGCCTTCTACTGAGTGTATGAAACAGTAGACTAAAACCAGCACCCGAAGACAGGGAGAGATCTTCATCTAAAATCAGAAGGTAAGTTGATCTAAGTTATAGCTTTTTTTCCTTAAGCCCGCCTCGAATACGGCTTGAAGCCATACCTGTGGGTTTTCAAGTATTCTATGATTTTATTTATTAGCCAATAACTCTCTCCTTCACAGATGCTCCCGCTGGGTATAAAATTTGGCATTAATAAGAAAAATTGCGATCACGCGGTGGACCATGGGAAGAGGGGAAAAGCGGCCTCTTTTCATGCTCGCTCCAGGTCATGGGCTCCTGAATTTGTTTAAAATATGTCGTTGATCATTTTGTATGATGTGTACGGCGTAGCTGATCATTTAATGGCAACCGCAGTCCTCGTTCTAAGTTGGTTGCAATTTTAAAGTGCACGGTTTTAGAAGAAGTGACAATAAAAGCTCAACTTTTCTACAGACGCCATCTGTTACAAAAGCGGAAGATGCCCGCAGTATTTTTGTGATGTCACAATGCTGCAGCGGGAATTTACGACATGTTTACATAAAAATCCACAGAAAAATTATGACAAAGACAATGGTGATGATATAGTGATAGTATTAATAATCTTTAATGCTACTTGAGTAGGGGCACCCAACGAGAATATAGTTCAAAACCACTTAAACATAGAATTGTTTAGCGTATTTTAGTATTTAAACGGTAGATATAGGCATATTTTTATCCCCTAAAAATTTTTCATCTGTTCGGATTTCGTAGCCGAAAGTCAAGTGATCCGAAATTTATAGGGATCAAAACTTACCTTTTCGAAAATTTTAGCCAGAAAGAAGGCTCCCGAAAATTCTAGGTGACCTTTTTACGGTAAAAATCCGTTAAAAATAGGCAATTATACCATTTTTTAGATGTCCGAAAATCCTAGGAGAGGCAGGCAAGCAAGAAATTTTACAACAAATGTTCCGAAAATTCTAGATCTCAAATCGTCTTCCGAACAGATATTTTTCCGAAAATTGTCGTTGGGTGCCCCTGCTTGAGTATTTCACTGTAAGTTTATATTATTCTTACCGACGAAAATCATACTTCAGTCGACAGACAAGCCTCCTGACCTGAGAGCCACTCAGTGGATTTTGTCACACTAGGCGACAGAATGCTCGTACCCCGGATAAAGGCTTTGCCAGATCGATAATGTAAGATTAATTTTTCATCTAAATCCTTTAATTTTATAATTGGTAGGCAGTTATTTTCGATCTGTCGATCGCTTTTAGTGCTTCTCTTCTTTCTCAGAATACTTTCAGGTATAGTTTATTTGAATCCCACTGAAACTGGGGCCCTGGTACGCGTAGGAGGCAAGCTTCAAAAGGACCTTGGACCGGATTCTCACTTTTAGACGTTGTTCAAACCCTACGGTAGTTTTATTTTCTTTTTTGCGATCTAAATCTTTACTAATTAGATATCTTCAAACAACCGTCTATGTTTTTAAAGGCGCGATTCCTGCTTTTGATTCGATATTAAAATAAATCCCGGCCCTCGCACACTGTTCCTTAAAGGGTAAATATTAGATATTAAAATAAATAAAAATAATTAAGGTAAATTTTAAATATTAGATTAAAAACTGATATCAAGAATCGTTGTTTTCAAAAATAACATTAAAAGGCCGACATGGTACCTAAAACTAAAGAAAAAAGAGAGGGAAGGCTTTTTTGTGATCTGTGAAAATTTTTTGGCGTTGGATTATAGATGCAAATGTTTGCCACGTTTTAGGTAAGACAAAAGTTTGTAAGGTCACCTTTTTATCCCTGAAAAGTTTTGATAACAAATTAAAAGCTACCCAAAGATTTTTGCCAGACAGATGTAAGATTTAGTAATGATGATCAATTGCTTGTCAAACCTCTGGCAAAATGGACCTTTTTGCTTGTTGTTCAGTAAAAAGGTTTCGTGCAATCTTTTTGTTCTTCGGATTCAGTAGCCATTCCTTTAAAGTAGACTGCAAATTAAGACAATAACAAGCGAATTTTTCACTTCTTCATTCATCGTCACCAAATGTGTAGTCGATGAAGTTCTTTAGTACAAATTTATGTATTTGGGCTTAGGTTTCTTTTGAATTTCAAGCTTACAATAGACTACACTGAAAACATATTAAAAGAATTTTAGTCAGAAATCAGATTTGGTTTTCTAGGGTACTTTAATTAGCTCCTAACCATTAATTGTACTGTTGTGAAAAGAGTAGATTTACAAGATATCCAAGAAATATGTCAGTAAAGAAGAACACTCTTCAATGTTATTCTTGCGTTCTTACCTTCTTGTATGTTTTATGTAATCACTCCTGTTATCGGGTCCTCAAGTGACGGGCGTGAGTCAACAGAAAGCCGGCCGGCCTCAATCAGTGCTTTTCCACTTTCGCAGCTCTTATAACTGTTGTTACGCATCCGGCCTCGTGGTGT